ATATATATATGTATATATGTTTTAAAAATAATCTTACCTCATAAAAATTCAAACAATATTTTAAATAATAATTAGAAACAAAATTTTACAGATTAAAAAATTTTTTAACATTCGATTTAATTTTTCTGATGCATTTAATTTTGACTATTTTTTGTTATCATTTCTTAACAAAATGCATTTATTTTTTAACAAAAAATATTATGTGTGTCTTAAAAAGATAATAATAATGTAAATAAATCCACGGATTAAAAAAATCAGTTAGAACAAAAAAAAAATGATAAGAATCGATTCTAAATCATTTGCCAAAAAATACTTCTTCGGTTTAAATATGGTTGTTTTTAAAGGCACTTGCCACGGTTAGTTCTCGCCTTAATCCCGGCCAATTAAAGTTCTCTTGGTAAACTAATTAATTGTGTACACGGAACTTTATTGCGCTTCATAAAACGAAATGACGCGATGCCGTTCGGCAGAATAGTGTCACCATTGCAGCATCGATGCGCAACAAAGCGAGACCGAGTTAATAACGTTATCATTTCTTGCGGGATTATTCGACGATAAACAATACGCTTTCGCCAAATTAAATTTTGGCTGCCTGATTAAACGATGCTAAAGGCGAAAAAAATTAATTGATTTCGGGTGAGTTGCAATCGATTTTTGCTTTTTAGAACAATATTCTAGAAAACAAACTCAATCGAAGAAAGTATCGTTACAAAAGTTCTCTATTTAAAGTTTACTCTAACACAATCGAAAGGTTCAGTATATAACACTGCTCCAACTCACTTCAGTTCAAGAGAACTCTCGAAAGATTAATTGTTTTTATCGTTAACAATAACTTTCTTAAGTATTTTAAAAGATTAAAACCATTGTTGTATTAAACGCTTTAATTGAATTTGAAGCGCATCATTGCATTTCAGATTTTGTCATAAATCTTTAACTCGAAGTGCTGACTAAATAAATGCTGATTAGTAAAGATTCAACATTTGGACATTGAAAAGTCAACTGAAAAAAAGCTACCTCCCATATGACGAACAATGAACGTGATAAGCAACGAAGAATGATCGTAAAATTTGATACCTTGTGAAATGGACAATCAATATCGCGATAATCAAAAAATTTATGTGATATTTATGATAGATAAAAAATATTGCGTTGTAATAAAAAAATGCTGTTAATATATACAGGGTTTAATAATTCTGCTGACAACGCTCGTGAGCAGGTAGAGCGGACTAAACTGAGGCAAAAAGTTCTCTACCATTTTGCAATTTTCTCAATAGTTAACAAAATATTAATTACTAAAATTGCGGCATATTGGTCTCTAATAATTTTTTTCTCAAATACTATCAACTTATAAAAAAGCTACAAGAGATAAAAATTGTTTATAGAACTCTAACAATTTTTTCGGAATTTTTTATAAACTTTTTAGTATTGTATTTTTTATACATATTGGCAACTATTTTTACCAATATGAGAAAATACGATATTCAAAAATTCTTAAAAAATTCTCAGAATTTTATGAGAGAAAAATAAATAATTTTTGTCTCTCGCTGTTCTTCTGTAAAGTTGA